GCTTGGTGATGTGAGAGCCTGGTCCGGTGAGAACCCGCCGTGATCCGTCCGGGCTTTGTAGGGATGCGAGGTCAACGGTCTAACGACTACGGCATGCACGACTATGAGTACACCCCCCCCCAATGCTGCCCCCGCACGGGGTCCCAGTTCATGGCAGATAGAAGTGTTTTGTGTTTTCAACCGCACTGAGACTGACGTCTTTTCATTGGTCAGCCGGTTAGCGCGGTCGATGCTAATATTAACAATACACACACACACACACACACACACAAACACACGCACGGTCCTTTTCAAACAGTTCGAGGTCGAACAATAGGCTTGTGCCTGACCCCCCCAAATCGTGTATGCGCGTAGGCCGATTATTCGTTTTTTGTGTGTGTCTTATTTCCGAAAGGAATGTTGGTCCGCACTACCTGCCGACGACGCCAGATCACGTTTTTGCTTGATATTAGAGCATGACCTGGTATCGTGGAATACTCGCTCCCACAATCAAACTGGCTCTTGATATTGGACAGAGACCTGTGAACAGACCATATGCGTCTCATTGTCGGTCAGTTTTTGGAATGGACACCAGAAAGCCAGTCTAGACTCTAAAAACGAGTGATTTTCGGTGTTTTCAGAGGTTTCAGCAGCGGCCTCGTGCGTGTGTGGTGATTGCGCGAAACGACATCGATATAAACATAGCTCTGGTTTCTGCGAAGGCCACAAAACAAACCGTGCCACAATTCACCACTCCGACGCCGCACAGCACCTCTTCCAAGATCGGGCCTCGGTGGTCAAAGCACCGCTGTTGAATTTTTGGGATAGAGTCTTTCGCGCATCATTCATCAACTTTTGTCCTACGCGCACAGCCTCTACCGCGACAGCTAGAGCAGCTTATGCCACCGTTCCAGCGCCTAAAGTAGCTGTGGATACTCCACTCGCGATGCAGCGCCCCTTGAACCTCGGCAAGGTTGGGGACGGCGGGGATGGAATGCGATTTCCTTCTGATGTCAACTTGAAAAAATGCAAACGCGCCACCGGATGAATTTTTCCGGTGTGGAGTTTTTCGCGCATCATACATGAACGTTTGTGCCACGCGCGCAGCCTCTACCGCGGCCGCTAGAGCAGCTTTTGCTACCGTTCCAGCGCCAAAAGTAGCTGTGGACACCCCACTCACGACTCCATGCTACTTGAACGTCGCCAAAGTTGGGGAAGGGTGGGGTCGGATGCGATTCATTTTCGATGTCAACTTGAAAAAATACACACGCACGCACGCGCACGCACCGCGGTTTTGGGATGGAGAGTCTTTCGCGCATCATACATCAACTTTTGTCCTACGCGCACAGCCTCTACCGCGACCGCTAGAGCAGCTTTTGCCACCGTTCCAGCGCCAAAAGTAGCTGTGGACACCCCACTCGCGACGCAGTGTGACTTGAACCTCGCCAAAGTTGGGTAAGGGTGGGGTTGGATACACGTCCTTTCTGATGTCAACTTGAACAAAATCGATTTCTTCCCAAGATTCCTTCGAAACAAAAAAAATCAGGGCTCCGCGTGATCGCCGCTCTCCTCCTCCGACGTACAACTCAGATTCTCTGACGCCTCAGACTCAGACTCTTCAGACGACGACAGCACCTCCTCCATCACGCTCTTAACAACCCACTTGCTGCCATGCTTTGATTTCTCACTCTTGTCTTTCAAAAACTTTCTCCAGTCATGCTCTCCGTTTCGTAATTGCCTCTCGTTCGGAACTGCGTGAGAGGCACTCTTTTTCAACACCGTCGCAACGGCAATTGCCTTGTCTCCCTCATCCCGAATCTCTTGGTTACTGGAATCCAATCGCTCCACTCTCCTAGAACCTCTGGAGCTGAACTGCCCAAGGCGGACGATATCCAGCTCCCTAGAATCATGCTTCTGGGTGCCCGTGTCGTAAGTTGAGGAACTACTCTCGACAAGCTGCTGATGAATCGGGGCAAAAAAAACTGCATGGCACGCCCATTCGTACAGCTGGGGGAAAGTCCAGATCATATCAAAGCCCGAGACCCTCGGTGTCTGGTTTTCGACATCGACATCGCTTACAACCTTCTTCTTCTCGTGTGCAGATGCGGCATACCTCTCCAACTCTTCCCTGAACTCTGCACTCGCAGCCAACTTCGAAAACATGCCAAGCGTTAGCTTATCTTTTCCTCGCTTGTGGTCGCGCCCGAAAGGTCGACCTCCAAACTTTCGCGAAAAGTGTTTTGCTCCTCCCACCCCTTCCACTCCGTGCTCTCATACCGGTTAGGCCAAAATGCCAGCAGCAAAGCCCGCGCAACCTCCTGGCCAACAGCATGTTCAAACCCCTCCTCCGACCCCGCCCACTTGCCCTCATAGAACGAACTGCAAGCCAGCCTCGTCATGCTGTACCATTTCATCCAGCGCTCGCACATCTCCCGGAAAAAGCCGCCCTCCTCGTTTTCAAAATTCTGCATGAAATGCGCAAGCTGCAGCACACGGCAATAGGGGAGGGAATCGAAGGGTGTGAGGTTTAGGCGGCGCTAGCAGTAGAGGAGGGAGTCGAAGGGCTTATGGTTTGGGCGGCGCTAGCAGCTGCCCGTCGGTGGCAGCAGGGAGGCACACAAAATTTAAAGCAGCGCACGAGAGCGCGAGCGAGAGAGAGCGCGCAAGACAAAATATTTTTTTCGGATCATTTTTTCGGCGTGTACACTACCTAATTTGTTGGCTACAAACGAAAGGGGGGGGCACTGCCGACTGCCGAGCACTCAATGTAGAGACGAGGCAACATCGTACACGCCGGGGACAATCACTCCTAGACTCGGAGTGCACGACTGCCACGTGGGAACGCCTTGTTTTGACACACCTCATCCTCTGAGAGCGCTCCAGTCGCTTCACCAGCAGGAGGGAAAAGTCGGCTGCCTCCGCCAACCGCATGCCTGGGGGTAAACGCTCCGCCACGCCACCAGTGCCCTCTAAGAAGTAGCCACCCTCCCCACGAATCCAGTTGTACGCCCAGCTCAGGACTGCTTTTCTGAGAGCGACGCAAAACTTCGCGTGCACTCGAATCAGAGGGTCGTCCAACATGTAGGTGGACTGAACCAGTAGTCCATGAAGGGCGTGCCAACGAGGTTCGCGGCAGCCCATTCCAGATGTAACCACCTAACCTCATCCCAACGCTCCTCAAGCAAGGCTGCCGCGTCCCGAATCACCATCCAGCGCGTTTCCGCGGGTCTGATGAACTTGCAGATCCACATGACGCCCTTGGCACGGAAGACGAGATTTTTAACACGCCGCCAGGAAATGCAGGATGAGTCGGACCTGCTGATGTTGTACCAAAGAGTTGCAAGCAGAGCCACGAGGTGGTTGTCCTCCCACTCGTGCCAGGAACCCTTGCCAAGAGGGCCCATGAAAAACTCGCACTCCATCCCGGCGTTGACAGCGAGATGGAGCACGTGGAGCAGGCACCCGATGCGGTGAGCGAAAATTGAACCTTCGTCGCTGAGGACTTCGGGTGGTTCATGAGGAGGAGGAGGAGGAGGAGGTGCAGCAGCCGTGGGTTAGGCCTGACCCTCACCGGCGTCGTCGGCCATTTCCGTGGCGACGGTCCGCGGGGGGGTGGTCCTCGTCCAGTTGGGTGGAGCACCGCACCATACACTTTAAATGCGGCTGCTGTGGTGTGTGCTCTCTACTCGAAACCACAGCCACGCCCCCCCAAAAAAACTAAAAAAAAACACGCTCGAACACAGATGGTTGTGGCCTGTTCGCCTGAAAGTTAACTCAATTGTCAAAATTGGTGGGTTTTCATTGGTCAAGAAATAACCAGGAAGGAATTAAAGTCTGTTCAAATGTAGGTCCGTGTGACAGAAAATCGGCCCAAAAAGAGGGTCAGGCACAAGCCTAACCAGTGGCATCACTTGCCGCGCCGGTGTATCGACCCCCTTACTTTGCTTGGAAGTCCTGCGCCTGAATACAATCTTTGCACAGGGCTTGAGGATATCCCATGTCTCTCGCTTTCATTTTGTCTGTATTCGTTGAATACGTTCATGTCTCCTCCGATCAAGGCGTCTCGACCGCTTAGCGAACGCCGCCGACCCTCCTGGAACGTGGTACTCCGTTTTCTTGAAACTCATTCAGGTGTACTCCAATCTCGACTGCTTGCGCGAACAATGCCGACCCTTCCTGAACGTGCTATTCTGGTACATGCACGTCTCTTCCAATCCCGCCTGCTTCGTGAACAACGCCGTCCCTCCCTGAACGTGCTAAACCCACGCAGGTGGCCTACCGACGAGCCATACCACCCGTCGACGATGGCGGCGACGTTTCGCAGAGACCGAACGGGAGGCAAACCGCTCGTCGCATGACCGTGCCGGTTTCGACGGGGGGAGAACCGCCTGTCCCGTGTCAGGTGCTCCCCGCTCGCCCCCGTGCCGTCGACCACTCGTGGCCGGTGGCGGATCGACTCGCGTACACGCAACAGCAACAGGCATTTCATATGGATGGCGAGGCCGCTGCGCATCAGCTACAGCAGCAGGAGCAGCAGCAGCAGCAGCAGCAGCAGCAGCAGCAACGGTGGGATATGCTGCAATAGTTTGCGGTTGCGAGAGAGAGAGGGCGGGAGAGGGAAAGGAGGATGAGAGGTGTAATATGGAACGCACGCACAACGACTATGGGGCTTAGTTTTGTGCTGTAAGGGAACCCTTCATTTTTGGTCCATTGCTGTATCCGTGGCGTGATGCTGTGATGGTGCTACGGCATTTCCGGTGATGCCATCAATGTTCGCCTTCTCCAGGTCATCGTTATTCTCGTGTTTCGTGTCACGGCTGAAGCACTTCTTCTTCCGATATTGTATTGCTTCGTCGGTATCGAATACATCGAGCAGGTGTTGGTCTGTATGTATGCATCAGCGGTTCCTCCCCCCCAAGTTTGTTTTTTGCCGCTTCTGCGCGTACAGTGTTGAGCGGTGTTTTCCAGTGCTCTGCCGGGAAGGCCTCTCTCACACGTGGGAGTTCACCTGTCGTCCGTGTAAATTTTCTGGTGTCGGTAGATTAGGTAGATTTGGCCGCGCGAGCGGCCTCCTCCTTCCCCCGTATGTTTGTTTTCGCCATCTTTTTTGTGCTCTGGGTCGCGTATACAACGTCTTGGGGCACCGGGAAAGGTTGACTATTAGAAGTATTATTTGTACCATCTGAGACGATTGTTTCTTTTTGTATTTTGTGTACGGCGTTGCTTCGATGTCTGGACGTGCCCCTGGCGGTACGGAGAAGGGAAAAATGGGCTTGATGTCATATATAGCAGGGAAGATCCACGCGCGGACGTTATGGTCTTTATTTGCAAGAAACATCACAAGTTCTCCGGTGCAAGAGATATCATTGATGTGTTGCCCGTGATGTATTCGGAGGGACCGAATGAGTACCACCCCCCTCCCCCTTATTGTCAAGTGGCGCCGTCTTTGATTGTACGATCTGTGCCTCGTTTCAGGCGCGTAGCAATATGCTTTTTTCGACTTTGCGCTCGACGAGTACTTGGTTTGCCTTTGCTCATGTTGTCTCCCGCCATGATCGACTGTGCCAGTACACACGTACCCCTATATATCTGTAAACGCGAAAAATTCAAGGCATGCATACGTGTGTCTCCCAAGAGAGTCACCGTCGAGGGTACACGGCGCGAACATTATTCTCTGGGATTCGTACATACAGTATTCGGGGGGCGGAGATAGGAAATGTCGATGTCGGGTCTTGTTTCTTAACTACTCTCGTAGAGTACAGTTTTTGCTTAAGACTATTATAGAGGTTATAAATGTTTATGTGTAGAATCCTCCGCGGAGCTGTGTTTTACCCAAGTACATTATATTTCGTGGGCGTTTCTCTCTTTTTCTCGGGGATTTTCATGGCGGCTGCGGCGGGCCCGCACTGCTGTACAGCTGGTAATTGTATGGCATTCCTCCTCCTCTGTGATCCCAGGTGATGATTACCGTTGTCGAGGACACGTGAATTGTGGGAGGCATCATGCATGGGGAGGATCAACTGGAAAGGCTTCCGACCGGGCGCTACATGAAAACTCACTTTTATTTTGAAGTTTTTCGCACAAGTCTATACACAGTAATATGAGGTAGTAGATTTTCGTAGAAGAAATATTCAAAAAATACAAGGGTGCTTCGCCCGCCCCCCTATTGGGGAGGCGGTCTTGCGTGATACCCGTAGGTGAAGGGAAGGAAGGTTTTTTGGTTTAACAATATGGTCATGTGGTGTAGTTCCATCATCAGCCCGACACGAACCCATGGGCAAGTGGTTGTATTTGGATCTTACCCCGGCACAAAGAATGAGTTCAATTTGACACCCGTGACACGGCCCACGGAACGGCACGTCCACATAGCGTGCGACGTTTACTTGCCAAGAATATGTCCTCCCCTTCCTGGCGGCGCAGTAGGATACGAAAACCGAGGCTGAACTTCTTTTCTCCCCTTTCTGTGGCCGTTCATCCACCCCCACATGCACAAGGCCAAGCTGGGCGACTACTATTATTCTCAAGTCTCATTATTGCAAAGGGACTGAAGACGACCGGCTTTCACGAACCTACCCCCTCCGGTGATGAGCCTCATGTGCGGCAGAATTTCCTATGGGCATGCTGCAACCACCGCCGACTGCTCCCTTAATCGAATTGCTACGAGCCGTGTACACACACATACCTCACCCCCCTCTCTGGTGGGCCGATCGTACCACGCCCCCCACATACACTAGGTAGGGCAGGGACGTGTACTCGTAAGTCTCCTCGTGTGGAAACAACCGTGGTATTCTATGGCGCAAGATTCACGGCAACGTTTTGTGCAGCTGTGAACGACTGCTTAACGGTGTGTATTGTGGCATTATGCCACGCCTGCCTGCGAGGTGTTTGATTGGCAATAATATGTACAGTTTCATTAATAATTACCGCTAAGTTACAGCAGGTGCTCTTTACCGAAAGAAGCAGAAGGTCGGAATCGACACAGAAGGTGAGAAAATTCGTGATGATCTTGACGATGGGCCGTTGAGACACATGAAGGGTGCTGTTCCATTCCCGCAGGTTGTGACAAATAAGCCTCTTCGTCCGCCAGATGTTCCTCGTAAACGTCGGGTAGATCATGGGATATGCCCTCTTCATCTTCATTGACGCACGGGTGGCCAGAGGGCAGGTTGTGGGTGGGTTGTGAGCATCCACAAGGTAGGGGCAGGTTGTAGAGGGGGGTTGGGAGGAGGCCCCAAGCTTGGCCAAACGGCTTGGTTGTACAAGGACGGATGCCGAAGGTTGGGAGGCAGCCACAACGTCAGGCCACACCTCTTGGTTGTGCAAGCACAGATCACACAGGTTGGGGGGCATCCACAACCAACCTTAGGCCACACTCCGTAGTTGTGCAAGCACCGATGATACAGGTTGGGGGGCAGCCACAACCTTAGGCCAGACCTCCTGGTTGTGAAAGCACCGATGATACAGGTTGGGGGGCAGCCACAACCTTAGGCCAGACCTCCTGGTTGTGAAAGCACCGATGATACAGGTTGGGGGGCAGCCACAACCTTAGGCCAGACCTCCTGGTTGTGAAAGCACCGATGATACAGGTTGGGGGGCAGCCACAACCTTAGGCCAGACCTCCTGGTTGTGAAAGCACCGATGATACAGGTTGGGGGGCAGCCACAACCTTAGGCCAGACCTCCTGGTTGTGAAAGCACCGATGATACAGGTTGGGAAGCGGTCGCAACCGAAGGCCAGGCCTCCTGACTGTAAGAAGATTATGTCGGTTCGACGGTTCGGAATAACTGGACTTGAGGCCCGTTTTAAACACTCCAAACTTTCGTTCCAAAAACTCCAAACTTTTGTTACAAAAGTTTGGAAGCAAGAATAATCATTTTAAACGCTGTGACTTGCTGTGATGTGGAGTTGCTCCAAAAAGAAAGAGCCGCGCGTGACATGTGCAGCAACACGCAAGAGATATACCACACACAGCCCGCATATCGACACCATATGGACAAAAGCGTGGAGACCACGACAACCCTGCGTGGTCGTCACACCAAAGTCCCGGCGAAATACCAGCACAACGGGTCTCTCGGGGCTGCTGTCGGCGGTGGTGGCTTGTTGTCCAGCACCCCGAACCCTCTGCCTGGCTTCAAGGGGACCGCTCGTTCGAACACGGGAGGCGCTTCCGACACCAACACGCAGAGCGAGGGCGTAGCTGCGGGGCCCGGTCACGTGGCGCCCACTGCTTCGGCGCAGCAGAGAACGGGTACAAGAAGCGCGGCGGACCATCGTTCTCATGAAGTGGATGCCATCCTCCAGGACGCACGTTTCAATTCTACATCCGACGGAGGGTCCATCCATGTCGGCTCATCAAGCAGCGACTCAGGGAACAGCGACAGCGAGTCAGAGGACGATGACCGTGGCCGACAACACGGCAGGGCAGCAGGCGGAGCTGACGGAG